CTGAAACCTTTCCCATGGCACAATTGCAACACATTCATCCAAGCTGCTACAAACTCAGGTCTCATGTTTCACTTCAGAGCCTGTTCTATAGTATGCAAATGAAGGAGGTCTAGCTACATGTCTTGAGCAAGTTCTCAATGAACATTGTTTATTCCATTCAAACTTTTACTACTAGAGCTAAATTTTCAAGTTTGTGGTAAGAGTGTGGAATTTTTATGAGAGTAACATAGTTTGTAATGCTAGAATGTATTGTTATGTGGTGTTGTTTTTTGTATTTTTACTGGAAAAAGATAATTTAGAAAAAGACTTAGGCTTCAATCTGAAAATTGATATGAGGGCGCTGGTTTGCTACATGAGGGCGCAGCGCCCTTGTTCCCCTGTTCAGAAAAACCCCTGCTGTCTTCATTCCCATCCTTCTCTGCTATTGCATCGTTGAGAGGTGCTGAAGCTAGACCTAACAAGGATGTGTATTTTGGGGCAAATATTTATGTCAAAGAAATTTAGATTACATTCAACAGTCTGGGGAATCAAACTATGTAGAACGAGTGAAAGCGACAGGATGTTTCAGGTGTTGTGTTCTTTCCCCACCACCTGTTTTGTGAGGTTACCTGATACCTAGTGTAACAGGGTGAAGAACACCTGGGGACGAGGTAACCATGTCAGACTAAACAGCTCCCAAACACGATTAGGACAGAGTAACATTCTTGTCACGCCAGGTTACCCAGGTGAACCATGCGGAGGGGAACATCTCTCTTGCTGTATATCAAGAAGGCGGACAAGTAGCTAGTCTGATGTTCGTCCATCGCAGTCGATGATGACCCCAACTTCAGTCCTTGTGTGTCCGGGTGTGGCTGACGAGCCCAATTCTAGCCCGGAAGCACCTGCCGCAGACGTCACACTTGTGCTCAGGTAGTGGTTGCAGAGACGGGTTTTTCTCCCTCGCCTTTCGTGCCTCCCGCTTACTGACAGCCAGGCTGATGCGACGACGCTCAGCAAGCTCGGCGCCCTGGTGGACTAGTCTGCGCCACTGGTGATGGTCAGTGGCAGCGTCCTCCCAGTTTTCGACAGGAATGCTGAGGCTCTTCAGAGTTGCCTTGAGGCTGTCCTTGAAGCGGAGCTTGGGGCGGCCCGCTAGCCTTTTGCCTTCAGCCAGTTCCCCATACAGCAGCATTTTGGGTATGCGGCTGTCGTTCATCCGTCGGACGTGTCCTGCCCACCTTGCTTGGGCTTTCTCTATGAGGGTGTGAATGCTGGGCATGTTGGCACGGGAAAGTACCTCCGTATCTGGGGTGTGGTCTTGCCAATGAATTTTAAGGAGTCTACG